CTTTGACATAAAGGGAAGATAAGATATTGGTCTATAGTTGGCTAACACCTCTGGATCCAGGGTGGGCTTTTTTAGGAGAGGTTTAATTACAGCTACCTTAAAAGACTGTGGTACATAGCCTGTTAATAAGGATATATTGATTATATTTAATATATGAGTGTTAACTAAAGGTAAGACCTCCTTAAGTAGCCTAGTTGGGATGGGGTCTAAGAGACAAGTTGATGATTTAGATGAAGAAATCACTGCGGTTAATTCTTGAAGAGAAATTGGGGAGAAGCAATCTAAATATATATTAGGTCTTACAGCTGTGTTTGAATCAACTGGTCCATTTGTTTTGGAGAGGAAGAGACCTCTGTGGATAATTCAGCTCCCGTAAAAACCCACTGAACAATGAACACTGAAGGAATTCTAACAATCCCCCTAAATCTGACACACTGTTCCTTTAAGGGATCAGTTTATCCATGTCACAGCCTGCATTCCGCTCCCCTGTTCTCCCTGTGTTTTTTCCACACTACCTGCCAGCCACGCCCCCTCATCAAGACACCTCCACTCACCTGCTGCCAGCTGCTTCTTATCAGCAATCCTTGCATATAAGCTCCTGCCTTTCCCTCAGTGCCAGATTGTTCTTTCACTTCATGCAAGACTTTTCAGCATTCACTCTCGGCTTGATTCCTTGTTACTGACCCTGCCTGCCTCTGACCTGTCTACGTTGTCTGTTTCCCAATAAATTGCCTTCTGTCCCTGACCACAGGTTCTGCTTCAGTGTCTCTGGTTTCCTTCTGCCTGTGGCTGTGTGGTGTTTTCCTGCCACGACATTTCAGTGTGAGTGTTCCCTCCTGCTTGTCAGTTCCCTGCTGTGAGATGCCACACACCGCCTTGTGTGTGTGTGTCCTTCTTTTACCTACCTGTCAGCTCCTCGATCCATTGCCTGGCCGCTACTTTCCTGCTACTCATACCTTGTCAGCTCTGCTGCTTTGCTGGACTGCTCCTCTGATTCTGGAGCCCTCCCCTTCTCATCCACACCATCAGTAAGCCCCTCTTTATTATCTCTGCCTGCTGTCAGACTGAACTGTTCGGATCAGAGGACTCACGTCCTCATTCCCGGTCCCACTTCCAAATGCGGCCCGGTCCATTCCGTAGACCTGAACCCACAGACTGTGTGTGGGCCAAAAAATGAACTGTCAGCTCATGTTTCTGTTCCCTTGTGTATAAATAAAGGTCATTACCAAATGTCGCTGAGTGCTGCATTTGGGTTCAATCACAGACATTACAACCCAAAAATATTTGCTCACTTACCAATGGCTGTGTACTTCTTTGTCTAGATTTATGCTTTTTATGATTTTGATTGTGGAGCTCACAGATATAAAATGACTTAAAAAATCAAAAGCTATGAGGACTTATTTCCTGGTTACTCTGTTACTCTAAGCTAATGTTGCCCTTGTTCTCTTGTCAAAAAGTCTATGGAATTTTTCCACTGGGTTTTGAAATACTGCAGAAAATAAGATCTGTGGCTATTATTCAGCAAAATAATCTTCACAAATAAGCATCGCTTTTATGGTTTTTGAAGCCTAAATGGAATTGCCAGAAGTAAAAAGCTAATGTTAGGCTATAAGGACCTATACCACGGTTGCATGATTTAACATCCCTACCACAACAAGGCTGTAAGACCGCATTTGGGAAGATGATGTTCTGTTGTATCATTTAGCCACTTGTTAGCAATTGCCTTTTATAAGACACATAAAAGCTTCAAAATTCATGAGTGGAATAAGCCCCCAAGCCACGGCCAGGCACAGTCCATGTGTGAGAAAAAAAAATGTTTTTAGTTTGTTTTTAATACTTATTATTATAACCTTGATACTCAGTGAGATTGAACAAAAAGTAACTAAGCACTATAAATTCTGTCTTTGTACTTCAACAAAAGGTAATTAGAAATTTAAAATGATGTGTTTTGCCTTTCAGGTTCAACAAAAGAGTACTCAGAACCATAGATCCTTCCTTTAGGATTTAAGCAAACAGAAGTACAGAACCAAAGGTAAGTATTAGAAATAAATGTCATCATACACAAAGACTTCTGTCCATCAGGTTGAACAAACAAAAGGTAAGTCGAAGAGGTAAGTACACCCTGTGAACAGGCAGTACTTTATTTGTCCACAGTTTAGTCAGTTTGTTTCAGGATTTACCTTCTTTTCTTCCTGAAACTGGTGAACGGCCTGACTCTGAGCATGATGATTTGACTGGACTGACTGGACTGGACATACTCTGTGTAGGCCTGTCTGTGGGTGACCTTGCTGTCCAGATCAATGAGGTTCCTCTCCTCAGACTTCTACAGATGTGAGGCAGACTGTGGGACATTACAGATACTTGACCTGAAGGTGGGCATTACCTCTGTCTGCAGGTCAACCGCCTGCACATTCTCAGGTTTATGCTCTACCTCTTTGACCTCCTTTGGGGGCTGTTTTAGCACAGCTTTTGAGGTGGCACTTAGTTGGGTTACTCAATAGGGAATGCTCTGGTGGAACTTCCATAGGCAGAATGCCGTGATTTCTTCCATGAGGTCATGGCCTTGAATGAGGCATTTCTGAAGGTAGGCCTGGGACAGTGGCATGTCAACCAGAGCATGTGAGCGGAGCGGAGCGGGTGAAAATTTCCGCTCCTCGCTCGCAGACCTGTCACTTTGCACCGTTCATCCGCTCCGCTTGGTTCTGCGCATTCTTTGCTCCGCTCCGCTCCATCAGAAATTTTATCCCGCTCCACTCGCTCACCACTCCGCTCAAAACAACTGCGTCGTACTACCCTAACCTGTAATCTTCTATTCACAAATAAAATGGGGTCTGCCCATTTTTCCGACAACCCATTGGTCTGACATCCCATTGTTCCAACCATATTAAACCCACTGTTCATGATGCCCTGTGGTTAAGGTCTGGTTAGGTTTAGGCACAAAAACCACTTGGTTAGGGTAAGGAAAAGATCATGGTGTGGGTTAAAATGAAAAAGAAAGTGACAAACACATAAGCCGTGAGCCTGCTTCGCCTCAAGCCTTTCCCAGCTGACCCAGAGCCGGTCGCGGCGCACCATCAAGGTAGAAATACGCCCGCCAGGAGCCATTCAGCACCTCGGAGAGCTCCCCACACAACCTGGACCCCAGAGTTAATAACAGGAGGTTATGGTGTTTCATTCTCTCCTCTCTATGACACTTGTATCTCTGGTACACAAATACAGTAATAATCACATATTGGAACAACGGGACGTCGGACTAATGAGAGGTCGGAACAATGAGAGGTCGAAACAATGCTACGGCACCATATATGGGTGCAGGCAGGTATGGCTTTGACTTAGACATAATGACGCGTCGGTTCTGGTAGAGCTTTATGGATATGGGCTGGTGTGGGTTCTCAAAAATGGACCCATGCAGGATTCTAGGCGAAGATGTGGTATTGCTAACAGCAGTTGGTAAGTACTCTCATAGACATGCAGCTCAAAAACACAAGTAATGAGTATTTAGCATTAAAGATGAAGTCAAACTTAAAGTGAAAATAAATACTTCCATTTTGAAACCATTCCTAACAACAGTTATTACATGGTAACTAAGCCCCTGTGTTCTCCTGCTGTTCAGACTTTAGTTTACATCTGGCAACACAAAGCAGACTGGACCATCACAGAGATATATAAGCTAGCGCCAGCACATCGTCCAATTCCAAACACTCTGTCTGGCAAGTAGTTCGAAAGAGCTTCTGGCTGACAGAATAGCGGATCAGCATCAAAAGAGAACTGGGCTAAAGGAGGGCAGCCATCTTGGATCTATATCACGGGAGTGTCTGGGCAAGAAGGAGGCTTCACTGGTCCTCTTCATCATGAGCATGTAAAAATATCCTGGCATCATCTTGTGTCTTCACACAGTGTGAGGTGGAGGCGCTCAGGCAATTACACTCATCTGCATGTGTTAATATGATTAATTAGCAGGAATAAACACTTTCCTATGACACAGGCTACATGGTGAGCCACACACCTGCAGAAGCTCTGATAAAAGACAACGCCTCATGGCAAAGAGCCTTTTCATGAGACCTGCTAATTGGCATCTGAGAACGTTCCGGCTAATTAGGAAAAGGCAGATGAGGCTTGATTAGTTTGAATGCAAAGTGTAACTTGTGGTGCAGTGGGACTTGGGAATGTGCCGAGGTTTTATTTCTTCACCATCACGATACAAAGATAATTGTAATTGTGATCATTTGCATACGTTAATGAATTTGCGTGACGCTTCTTGATCAGACGTGGAATAAATAATTGATGCAGTATCAGCACCTACCACGACAAGTGGGACGTTTTGAAATAGCTAAGCGCATTAAGGTGTGAGTTTGATGGCTGCCATGCTCCCAGACAAGGTGTGAAAGTAGAGCAGATCCTATCTTCTGCTTTCTACTGCTGCTATCACACTGAGATTAACTTCCAACCTCCGATGGTATGCTGAGACTTGGAAGTTTTTACGTAGCATTAAAAAGGCACTCAGAGTTAGAACAAATTAGATGCAGCTCAGGAAAATCATTTTCAGAAGCCATGCAGAGTGGCAGAGAACAAAGAGCTGTGGTGGGAAACAAACCAGTCTGTGTTGGAGCTTTAATTAGAACATGGTAAACAGTAAATACATCAGATTGTTTCAAATGCCCTGGATATAGAAGGTGCCACTCCCCTTTAATTAGCCTGCTTTCAGATTAGGCTTTATTAGAGGCAGGCAGCCACTGAGCCAGTCAGCCACAGGATATGCCCCAAGTTCAGCCTCCCAAGAGCTCCAGCAACACAGATACAGGGCTCATGTTTAATTGCTTCTGTAAATGGTCAGAGCTCAAGCCCCTTAATTCCATTCCTCAGGGTAATCAGGCATGTTTTCACCATACAGGGCTAAAGAGAGTGAGAGAGACAGTCACATCCACGGTGCTAGGTGCCATGCAATACAATGGCACTCTAATGCCATTGAGGGGCTTCAAAATGACGCGATTCATGACATGTAACAGGAAAATCATTTTATAGGATTTTTAATTTTAACTCCACAATTTGTTTTTCACACATTGAACTGGCATCTGATGAAGAAATGAAACTCTACAGAAGTTAAAGAAAAAAATGTCACTGGATATTTCAGTGCTTTGTGCAGGGCGTCTGAAAAGTAATCATACAGCAACATTACATTTTGTTTTCCTCAAGTATTTTAAAAAAAAAAGTTTATGTTCAAGATTTGAATCTCACTTCTGACAAACATTTTTTAAACTCATTAAAAGGTTTTCTATGAATGAATACTTACAGATACTCTGGATTTTTGCCTGACACCCATCAATTTTATATTCCATACTCAGTGTGTTAGATCTCAGATTAACAAATACAAGAGAGAGATCAAGAGTTCATTAAAAACACTGACGCTCAGGGAAATGGATGCCACATGGCATAAGCAAAGCTTTGACAGTCATTTTACAGCAGTCCATCAAATGTTCATTTGAGGATCTTTGATTCCATCTTCCAGTTGGTGCAGGCTTTCATCGTCATTGTTTTCCTCCACTTTTTTCTAAGTCCTGAAGCAGCCTTTTGCCAGTGCAGTCAGCACTAAGTCTTTGCATGATGCACAGACCACATTAACGTTGAACACGACATAAATGGGACTTTGAATGTGGTACATAGTCTCTGGCATGGTGATGGGCAGGGATGTTGGTGAGAAACTGCGTCCTCCCTGAGGAGGAGAGGCGGGTCAGTGATGAGAATCCACAACAATGACAGTAGCAGGAGAAGAATAGTGCACCGAAGAAAAGTGAAGCTTGGAGGAAGGGTGAGGGCGACACTCAGCACTTCTGCCACTCAGCATACCTGCAGACAAGACAAGAGAGAGGGAGAAGGGTCAGGGTCACTGGCACAACAGATACCCTCTGGCTATATGAACACAAAGCCCCACAGCTGTTCTTTTGTGTTCATGTTTCTGTTCTCTCATAGACACACCCACATGAACAAATACAATCTATTGTATAATACCTATTTGAGAATTAATAAAATCTAAAAAACAAAACAATATGAAATGCAATATGATTTAAAATCATTTCTTACATTATAGTAGTAATGCACAAGCTGTAAAGAGCACTGGAAAATCACTTAGCATCATTGTTCCACAATCATATTTGATTTTTCACTGGTGGAAGAAGTATTTAGATTCCTAATTACTCTACCAATACTCAACTGTATGCATTACTATGTAATGCTTTCACAATTATACTTCAGTGGAAGTAAGACAAGTAAATAAGTATCAACAGTAAAAGCATTATTAGCAGAATAATACCTGTCACTTTCATGTTATTATATATATATAATACTGGATAACAATTACTGCTGCATTAATGTAGGGGTGTAACAATCCATCCAGTTACGAGATAAGACACAACATTATGTTACCTGACTTGCTGGGCATCTCACTCTGCTAACTTCTTGCAGCAACATCAGCTGCTCTGTCTCAATAATGTTAAGCTGAAAAAAAACATGCATGCAGGCTGAAATTTAATCGCACTATTCTGTTGGGAGATGCAGTGAGCAATTTGTTTAGCTCTTGCTAAAGAAAATGTCCACTAGCTGCTGGGCTAATTTCAGTAATGTAAAGGTGCTTAAGCTTATAATGGGTGACTAGCTAAAAACAGTTGTTTTGTCTATGAACCTTGACAGTTAATGAGCCAAATCACTTTTGTATTATGATGCTGTTGTTTTATGGCTGTTTGGAGAAGTTTGCCTTCAGCTTTGAGCCAGATAGTCCTGATGTTTTAGGAAAAGGATGATGGTTTGGGTTTAAATGAAAACTTTTCTTCCAAAAAAGGATTTCTTACAAAAAGATCTGAGGGTTAATTTATCCCATGTGCTGTTTTATATGTGTTAATGGAGTCAATTTTAAGTAAACTTAACAACTTATTTACATTGTGTATGTGTGGTTTTTATCCTTTTAGCCAAAAGTAAAAAAAGAAAGGGGTAGCAGCTTCTTCTGTAAAAAGATTGTGTTAAATGATCATATAATACCGACTCATATCGATCGCAGACCCCTGAATTACACTCAATCAAAATAGCAGCGTGGCAGACTTTATAATAACGGCAAATATTGTATCATTGTCCAAAGAAGCTACATAATATTGTATTGTGATGAAACTAGTGATTTACACCCCTATTAACATGTAAGTAGTATCTTAATATTGTATCTGGTCAGTGTGGAGCTCATTTTAAACATAAAATACATTTTTACAAATTAATCTGAAAAAAAAATGTATTTTATAAGCCCATGATGCACTGTGTTTATAAAGTATTCATTTGTAAAATCACTGATGAGATATGGCTAATAAGAAGTACAATATTTCCCTATAAAAAGGAGTAGAAGTGTAAAGTAACATAACAAGAAAATGCTTCAGCAAAGTACAAGTACTTCAAAGATGCACTTGCAGTACAGTACTTGAGTAATGTACATTCCACCACTGCCATTTATAAATACATTATCTTTAAAGTCTCTATTGTTTTTCACCTTTTCTTTCTACTGTTATATTTAAGACACTTTTTTTTGTTTCTTTCTGTGACATATTGTGGTGTAAACACTGGTGATTGCATTATAAAAAATAGCACCTCTGACATTTTTTATTTTTACCCACTTTGCTGCATCATTTTCTTCATATTAATGACATGTCCTGCTGGTGCCCCAGGGTTAATAAATATATTCATATCTATGCAAGGAGAACTTATGCTTTGCTGTAAATACAGATGATTCTGTATCGTCATGTCAATAACCCCTTTATTCACCTTCTGGTCTGTCAGCACAGAGCTGCTCTGAAGTGGAGGCAGGTGGCTGTTGAGCAAGACAGCGCCGGGTCTGTCGTGCTCACAGAAGATTGTACCGTTGATGTAATGGAAACGATCGCCAGGCATTAGTCTGTTTCTACAGGTGGCACAGCTGAAACACTACAGAGGAGCAGAAAATAAACAAAGGGTCAGAAATTGATCAAATTCAACCTGCTACAGCACAGTAATATATTTTGAGCATGATATCAAGAGTTGAAACAAAATTTTGTCAGCAAAGTCACCTGAGACACTGAAACCAGATTGATAAGTATTAATAAATATATGAATCACTTTGAAATATCTTAAAATATGTCTCAATCAAAGTGTAAAATTGAGTACATGAGGTAAATGATGGAGGACACAACCAATTTCTCTCCTGATACTAAGGGGACACATCCTCCCGTTCCACTGTCTCTCCCCAACAAATCCCAGATGTTTCTGTCAAACAAGCAGCAGGAGATAAAGCCCATTGATGTGAGAACTGGGGATTTACCTTGAGGTGGTAAACATTTCCCTGCGCCCTCATCACCATTTCATTGGCTGGGATCGACTGGCCGCAGGCGCTGCACGCCCCGCTGTGCCCAAACAGTCTGCAAACACAAAAACACAGATTGCTCAGTCTGTACAGCCTCCAAAATCTAAAAACCAGCAGCTTTCTTGCCTCCTCCTTCCTCCTCCTCTGCCACCTCTTCCTTCCTCTCACCTGATGTAGTCGCTTCGACACAGAATCATGCCCCCTTTGCTGTAGCAGGTGGTGCCAATGTCCCCCAGCTGGGCTTGGCAGCAAGAGCACTTGAGGCAATGAGTGTGCCAGTAGCGCTCCATGGAGAAGAGCAGGAAGCGGTCTGCAATCTTCCCCCCGCATCCTGCACATGACCTGGGGGCTGGCGGTATGCCTGATGCTTGGCTGTTCACCATGCTGATGTGGGCCCTCAAAGGCTCCTAGACACATAGAGTAGAGGTTTGACAACTGAGACAGGTAGAACAGCTGGACCCAGCTATATTCACTTTTCTGCCCTTTGTATTTATGACTAGGCACACATCAGCCATTTTCATTTGCTGTGACAAACCTAGACAGGGCTTCAGCATGACTGCTAATAATTGTTACATGATCCCTTTAAAAGCTGTAACAGGTTGACCCAGACACTAACATATCGATCAACACAAGAGAATAACTTAAATATTTTCACAGATATGTCTCTGTACATAGTAGTGCAGCACATGAAGTGCAAAATATATTAAAATTGTGTTCACTGAAACTCCATAACGTTAATATACCACAAGTAATCTTATTTTTGGATTGGCAAGTACACAGAGGGAAAGGTACTTAATGCAACAGGCCGTAAGTCAACAATGTATTTTGGTGTGCAGGGAGGAAAGGGGGAAGTCAACAAATTGGACTTTTGGAAGAGTGCCAGTTAAAAGACTATATGTAATACTTGAAGAGTATAAAAGTGTTTTATTCAGCATCAAGGGACTGTACTTTATTTATCAGAGAAGGGGGTGGCTGAGCTGTGATTTTTTTTATTGATTTATTTTTATCTTGACCCTCCCCAAAGTTACAAATATTTTTCTTTGAGCCTCCCTGGTGGGTGACTGGGGGTAAATGCATAGCCCTTCCTCCACCATAAATATCTGTATTTTTTTATATTCACACCAAATATAAGCAGAATTGGAGCCAAAGCAACAAGCAAACAGCATGGAGTTAGAGTTATCACCAAAACAAACAGCTAATTTCTTTAGCAAATTGCAAATCCTCCCTAAAAATTACAGAAATTGGATGGTAACATTCATTTTTACACTTTCTGACTACTAGAAATGGTGTGATTATGGTATTTTTCAAACAAAACATACCTTTCAAACCCATCAATGGGATTTTGGGTTTAGATGGTATTTCAAATAAATACCAAATAAAACCACTTAAACTTGTAGCCTATGTGCTCCTCTTAGCCAAAATAAAAAAAACACAAGCCCCTCCCCAGTGCTTCAAAATTATTTGACATGCCTCCTTCGATGTGCAACCCCCCCCCCCCCCCCCCCCCCCCCCCCCCCCCCCATAAGTAACAAACGGTCCCTAACTAGTTCTAACTTTATACAGTATCTATGTTAAATTATCTTAACTGACATGCTGTGTTTAGGCTTACATCTCCAACCAGGAGATGTAAGCCTAAAGGAAAGCTTTATTCAGAAATACGCGCGCAGAGGTAAAAGAAAGAGGAAAAACAAGATGTTACCTTTACGAGCCGAAGCTTTTCCTCCTCTAGTAAAGTTTGAGAAGCTGAGAAAATATTCACAGGAACGTCGACACGCGTGCAGTTGTAACACTTAGACTTGGCATGTTCTGCCTTCCATAGCTCTCCAGAACAAACGCAAAGCAACACAACATAAAGCCCGGGACAGCACGGTAAGAGTTGAGGAAACTCGCCCCGAGATCCAGCTCCGAAGAGAAATAACTACATGTAACCGTGAGGAGGAGGCATGACGCAGCTCCTCTTCTTCTCCTCTCTCTTCCAGCTGTCCATCTATCAACGTTCCTTGATCTGTTTCCAGCGCTTTTGACAACGACACTATTCATCAAATTGCGCAAGGCACTATTTAAATTGCTAAGAGGGGACGTAACCGACATAAAGCGCGCAGCAGCCAATAAGGGGGGAGGGGGCGTGCCCGCAGTCAAAATGATTTATGAGATTATAGTGGTTTATTAATATGCACATTCACATCCCTTAAACTACTCACAGGATGCCACTTTGTGTGTGTGCGGTGTTGACATGGGAAACAGCTATAGCTACAAACAAATAATGGTATTTTTTTTATTGTTTAGCTACATGGATGTAGATGGCATCTCCTTTCTCATACTTTACTGTAAGTAACTGTGCCCTGAGGAAATGTGTTCAGACATTTTCAAAACTGTCCACCGGTGCTTTATTAATTAGAATTAATGGACATTTGCTCTCTTGCTCCAAATTTTACATTTAAGAAGTTGTGTATTCAACTTTTGATTAGAAGAGTCAAAAAAAAGTCAAAACATGAATGTAATCATCTTTCAGTAGCTTGTGGAATTTCTCCATTAGCAAGTTCTGCCCAAGTTGTTAAGAAGTTATTTGGTAAGAAATGATACACAGTAACAGAATATTTCATCAAATTCATCAAATCAACCTTCAAATTAAAGTTAAGACCTTGCTACATTATGCTCACAACACGCCACATAAAGAGCTTATGAAAATTGTGTGTGTCAGACAGGGGACTAATCATTGAAATCTTAGGTATTATTTGGTCAAGTACGCAAAAAAGCAAGCAACCACACTTATAAAAATAGGCTCCAATGTATGGAGTGTGATAAGGACACATTTTTGTTTTCTTTAGTTTTTTTCTGAAGTGTTCCTGGAGTGGGCGTGGTCTGACTCTGGGACTGTGAGGGTCTCAGAGGACATTATAACTGAACCGCTCATCTCTGTCAAGGCAACAGCCACATATGGTGGACACAGTCACTCACTAACACCTACATGCACCCGGCGAATTTATGGATTACAACAACAACAACAACACAGGACTGGATTAAAACTTCAGAGGGAACTTTCATGTCTTTCCTGTGCTGATCATTCTGTTTCTCATTCATTTCCCAAGAACACTGCACTCAGTGAGGACATTGTCACATTCACAGTAAAAGCTATAGACTACAAGTCTGTCAAACCCGACTCAACCTCTCCATCTGGTTTCCTACAACACAGGTTCCTCACTGTTTGCATCACCCCACAGAACAGATCACTGAAACAATGTCACACATTTTGAATGCTTGCAAAGCAATGTACATAGCATATCATGACAGAATAGTGGACAAGGGACATATCAAACCATTTTTCACCTTAAGTGAGAATGTACAGACATTCCAGTGTCAAACATTCCATAATCTCTCAAGACAGATTCTGCAATTTACATTGTAGAATCTGTCAGCAGCCCTGTGTGAAAGACGACTAGAGAGGTGGGGAGGGCGGGGCTTTGAGTTTGAACGATGCTGCACTTTAGCCAATCACAAGGGAGGGGGCGTGGCCGAGACGTGCAGCTGTCCCCAGGAAATGTGTACCTACAGAAACAGCAAGCTCCGCGTTCATAGCGACCGCTCCACCCAAAACGCCATCTCGTCAACGTGAAAAAAATTTTTTTTCCAGCAGATGTCTTAGTTACAACATGGTTGAGCTAACTGGAGTAGTTTCATGTCGTATCCGACAACGAGAGGCTTTTAACAGATGATATCCTGATGTTAGCTTTGCTGCTGCTGTTAGCTGTCCCTGTCAGCTGCAGCCACTAATGCTTTCTAGACATCGTGATTTCCCATAACTGAATAAATACCACACATAGCAACACAAACTGCTTTGCTAGCTCAATCATGATGTAACTAAGATATCCGCTGGAAAAAATATTTTATTCACGGACCGTTTATTGAGTTATTACCTTATTTTTATACAGTCTATGGTTATTACAGACACCGCTAACGGCTAATGTCAACAGCTAACGGTTAGCCCAGCTAATCTACGATGTTATTATTATTTACAAAACGTGCACACAGAAATAGTAACTTTTGTTCAATCATTGTGTTTATTGACTTAACAAACATCAGATTAGTCTACATGGTGATATAGTGACGTGAAAAATGTGATATATAGCTAAACTCTGCTGGTTTTCTACCCGAAGTATTTGTAAACAACACGGCGATTCCCTGGGGGCACCGCCGGAAGTGAAGGGTGTGAGCGATTGCTGAGGCCCCTGCACTTCTGTTAGTCGAAAAACTCCGGGCTGTGCCTCCAGAGGTAAAGGGAGAATTTTTTTTTTTTTTTTTTACCGATGGATTTCCAGATTGAACATTCCATGCTTCATCTCTGTAACAGTAACCCAGGTACTTTTTAACATCTATCTGCCAATACACCAGATGTTGTGGTGGTTCATGAAGAGTTCAAAGAGGTGTGTGTTTTAGAGGTAGACTTCATCTTTGACTCTAACTTGGAAGAGGCCTTTCAATTCAATTCAATTTAATTCAGTTTTATTTATAAAGCCCAATATCACAGATAACACATAGCAATTTGCCTCACAGGGCTTTACAGCATACAACATTCTTCTGTCCTTTGGACCCTCACAGCGGATAAGGAAAAACTCCTCCAAAAAAACCCTTTTATGGGGAAAAATGGTAGAAACCTCAGGAAGAGCAACTGAGGAGGGATCCCTCTTCCAGGACAGACAGATGTGCAATAGATGTCATACAGAACAGATCAACATAATAAATTAACAATTATCCATATGACAAAATGATACAGAAAAAGAGAGACAGAGACAGAGACCAAGAGAGATGCAGGACAGACAGTAATGACAGCTTACAACAACATTAAGTAATTTATTTATTTATTTATTTATTTTTATTTCATTCATTGAAAAAAAAAAAATAATTATAATAATACAATATAAACACAACATTCCCAAATCTGAATGAAAGGGAGCAGAAAGAAGAGTAATCTTATTTAATCCGCCCCTTTATCCCAAAAAATCAATTTACAAAGCACTTAAATTAAAACAACAACAACAAAATAAACAAAAATAAAATAAAATAGCTGCCGGCCACAACACAAACAGTCACGTTCTTTTTGGTTCCCGAGTTACAATTCAATTGATACCATTCAAACATTTATTTTTTATTTTTATTTATTTATTTTTATTTATTTATTTTTTTATTTATTTTATTTAGATACTATACCTTTCATGACAATGGGTATGACAATCAAACATAACTAACATATTTCAATATATTTCCTTAACATACTGGCTTTAATTGTTCTTTTAAATGTAATGTTTGACTTGGATTCTTTGGTTTTTTTGTTCAGATTGTTCCATAAACTGATTCCTATCACAGAAATGCAATGTTCCATCAGTTTAGTTCTGAATCTTGGTTTTTTAAAGATCTCTGTTCCTTTTAAATTATACTTGCTTTCTCTTTTTTCAAATCTTTAAACATAATTTGCAGAATACTGTAATCTACTAATTCATGAAATTTCAACATTTTTAACTGAAGGAATAATGGATTTGTTGGATCTCTATATTGTTTTCTACTGATTATTCTTATAGCTCTTTTTTGTAAAATGAAAATTGACTGAGTATATGTTTTACAAGCATTTCCCCAAACGTCAACACAGTAGGTCATATACGGAACAATCATGGTGTTGTATAAAATGTACAATGCTTTATTATCTAATGAATCCTTTACTTTGTGTAACAGAGCAATTGTTTTTGATATTTTTACCTTTGTATAATTTATATGTGATTTCCAACTCAAATTCTCATCCAGGATGACACCTAAAAACTTCATTTCCCTTACTCTATTAATTTCAATACCATCTATATTAATTGAAGCATCAGTGCCTTTCCCTCTATTACTAAATATCATAAAGTTTGTTTTTTCAAGATTTAGCGATAATTTATTTACATCAAACCATATTCTTTCAAATTATTTTTTAACCACATTCAGCACCTGTGTTATATCTTCCCCAGAATAAAATAAAGTAGTATCATCCGCAAACAGAATACATTTGAACAGAATACATTTGAACAGTTTGGATAAATTAACAAAATCACTTTATATGATATGATTCAGATTTTACATTATTTATCTGCACAAATTGCTTTCTGTTTTCTAAGTAGCTAGAAACCCACTGATGTGCTACCCCTCTGATACCATATTTACTTAAGAAGTATAATATGATCTATGGTATCAAAAGCCTTTTTGAGGTCAACAAAAATACTTAAAAAATAATGTCTCGTCGATTGCAGTGGATATTTCTTCAGTTAATTCCATTAGTGCCATTGTGGAGTGATTTGTACGAAATCCATACTGACTATTGCTTAATATATTGTATCTGTCGATGAATTTGTCTAACCTGGTTACAAATAATTTCTCTAATATTTTTGAAAATTGTGGAAGCAAGGATACTGGTCTGTAGTTGGAGAAAACATGTTTATCTCCATTTTTATAAAGTGGAATTACTTTGGCTGTTTTCATACTTTCAGGAAATATCCCTGTTGAAAATGATAGATTGCGTATGTATGTAAATGGTTCAATAACCAGTTCAATTATGTTCTTTACTAATATCATGTCCATATCTACACAGTCAGTGGATCCTTTACTTGCACAACCTTTTACAATACTCAGTATTTCTTCTTTTTCAACCTTACCAAGAAAAATACTATTCACATTATCCCTTACTCTGTTCTCATCTGCATTGTCATTTATTGTTGGTATGTTTGCTGCAAGACTAGGGCCTACATTTACAAAAAAAATTATTAAACTCGCTTGCTATTTTGGTTTTGTCATAAATGTCATGATTTTCTTTCACAAAATAATTTGGAAGAGCTGATTTTATTTTATCATTTTTTATTACACTATTTCTTATTCCCCATGTAGCCTTCATATTGCTTCTATTTTTATTTAGTAAATCACCATAGTATTCCTTTTTATGCCTTTTTATTATCCATACTAATCTATTTTTATATTTCTTATGCCTATCTTCTGCTTCTTTTGACCTTAATTTTAAAAAACATCT